TAATAATAATAATAATAATAATAATAATAATAATAATAATAATGGATTGCTTTTATTTTGGGGGTGATAGAAATTAGATTTGTAAGATGCGTTATTAGGAGAGAGCCAGTTTGGTGTAGTGGTTAAGGCATCAGGCTAGAAACCGGGAGACCATGAGTTCCAGTCCTGCCTTAGGCACGAAGCCATCTGGGTGACCTTGGGCCAGTCGTTCTCTCTTTTAACCCCAGGAAGGAGGCAATGGCAAACCACTTCTGGAAAACCTTGCCAAGAAAACTGCAGGGACTAGTCTAGGCAGTCGCCTGGAGTCAAAAACGGACTCAAAGGCACCAACACCCCCCCCCATTATTAAATGCAGACTTTTCCAACCAGGTGTGCTCCAAAAGTGTTTAACTATACACTTCCCATCATCTCAACATAGTAGTTCAGTATATCTGAAAGGCACTAGGTTGGGGAAGGCGGCATGAAAGAATGCATGCTGGAAGTCAATCTCGGTCCAAAATTTATAAAAATTGATAATACAACATGCACTTTGTTGTACACCACCCAGAGTCGCCTGTGGTGAGATGGGTGGCTATATAAATTGATTTAATTAATAAATAAATAATAAATGCACAAATTAGGCAATATAGTTTGTAGGTGATATAGAATTAGTGTAGTTTTTCTGCTTAATTTGAATTCTGCAGTGTTTTTAAAACTAATTTGTCATAACTGAGTCAGGTTTTCTTAATCTTTTAGATGAGGAATTTTTTGTCAATGACATTTCAATAGGTCATAATCTTTTTGGCCAAACCTTTGTGGTGACAAGGACTGGATGTTTTCCTCTCCAAAGAAAAGGAAAAGGAAAAGGAATGTTTTGGACTCAGAGCATCATGTTAATCCCAGGACTGACTGTCCTCCAGCCTCATTAATGAAAAAGACACAATATTGTAACTTATAAGTTGTTTAAAGTTGGTTTAAATTAAAACCAATTATCTTGGTTTGATAAGAATGAACTTATTGTTTGATCTGCTATATCTCATATAGTCTCTGTTTGTTAGCTTTTGAGATGGAACGAACATCCCAAACATCTGCAAGGCACTTGCTTTGGTCTTGATAACCCTACCTTTGACCTGCTCCAAGTTTATAAAGGTGAAAAATGCCTGTAACAAATGCAGCCTTCCTCCAGCTGGTGACTTCCAGATGTATTGGGCTTCAGCTCTTTGGATTTGCCAAAGTCCAGCATGTATGGAAGAAAGTAGGTTAAAGAAAGCTGCAGTGGCTGAATATTTCAAGGCAGGGAAGAAATAAACAATGGGGAAGTGAGGTGGTCTTCCTTGTAGTTGATGTTTGTTTCTCTCTTTCTCTCTCTCTCCCCCCACTCACTCCCCCCTCCCTCCCCCTCCTCGAACACTCCTCATCGGATTGTACAAGAAGTCTCCCTGGCAGACTCT